GAAAGGACTTACCACCAGAACAACACCGACAGAAAGTTGGCCTTCACTCGCGGATTCGGTTTCTGTTTCAAATTGCTCGAATCCATCTTCCATTAATGCGTGCCGCATCCACACACTGGATCCTCCGACTGTCAGTTGACAACTACTCAAACTGCTATTCGACTTCGCCGATGAGTACAGAAAAAAGTATAATCCGCGTCCAAATAGATGTCGTACAGTCGAAAGCTTGATTCTCACGGAACACGTTGTTATCACTCGATAACACGAACTTATCATAAGAGAGCCTTCTTATATATCGGGCTAATTGCTGATTAATTGACGAGTGATTCATTGGAATCTTGACATGGCACAGATAAAAATGTAAGTACAAGTAAATCTTCAATGATCTTAGAGAAAGCGACCGCTGTGTCCGTAAAAATATCAATTGCGAAATGCTCGATCGATAGATGATCTTGGTGATCGACCGAGTCCAACGGTTGATATATCCGGAATCGAAGTTCCTTCTTCGTTCACGCGTGGAATTTTCTCTCTTGGAGGAAAGTAAGACACCATTGGATTGGACACCTGTATTTAAGACAAAAAGATATCATATATCACATCCGAATGCCTTGGTGCGCGGCAGCTTCTTTATCTCCATACTTGCTTCGTCATTAGTTAAACAACGCAACGCAACAGTTGGTAGAATTTCACGATGATTTCGACACGGCGTGTTATCACATAGATACATATACACAGATACACATCAGTTACCGACGTATCGAGTACATATTTGACGAGTTTTCAGTCAAAAACAATTAATTCTGTCTTTTATACACATGAAACATTAAACATCATTTGATGTTCTTTTTTTCTGGATACCAACTAATCTATAAAGTATTTGAATACATCTGAAAACCATTTGATTCCAGAATTATAAACCAGGGCATGCAGTGGATTTATTGATATCTATACTGAAAGATCACTGATACGTACATGTATAGTATAGACAGAGTGTTTTAATTTCTAAATTAAATGTCTAAACTAAATGTCATCTCTTTAGTTTCATAATTAATTAAGTTATTGCATTTTCAGGGCTTGAAGAAATATAACAGTTATTACATTAGCCCTATATATTCTGACTGAATGTCAGATACAAATAACAAAAGAATCAGATAATAAGTTACAAGTGAATAAAAATGAATGATGTGTCTTATTATGTGTTATTGCCTTAAATTCTTCGAATATCGAATAATTCAGCTGCAGGAATGGCTAATCTACCCTCCCGTGGAATCTATTATTAGTCTTGTATCTTCTTGTATCTGCCTTATGCGTACTTCACACCGGTTGGTTCAATATAGCTGGAAACGTTCTTTATATCGGTCAAAAAGTACGACAGAAAAAAAAAATAAAAAATTGTCGACTTTCACAATGTAACTATACTTGTTGATGATTAATTACTGGACTTTTAGGTTATTATTATTATTTGAGACGTTTTATTTTAAAGGTGGCACAAGTGATGAAAAATGGCGTCCGTGCGAAATTATTTGTATTGAGAGAAGTACAAGTATCCGAGATAACAAATGCAAACAAATCTCCCCGAAAGTTGGCATCAGTTTTTCTAGGCACGTTAAAACCTAAACGTCTTGATTTTAAGCACAGAGTGAAAGTTGTGCCACTTTCAAAACAAACGGCTCATTTTTAAAATTGGATTATTAAGAGCAGTTATCGAAGGCCAACAAATGCAAACAAGAATGTAAAAATCGATAAAATCGATTTCGAGTGATCCGAGGAATCTGTGATTCGATAACATTTATCTTATCATGTTACTAATGTATACTAATGTAGTAATCAACAGTAATGTGTACTATCGGATTAACAAATCCGTTGTATAAAAACGGATTATTTATCATTTTGATTTAGAATATATATTATTTTGTTATTTGGTTTTTAACGAAACATATTCAAAATTTATTTACCTGAAAGTGACGACTTAAACGCTCTTTCTCTCTCTCTCTCTCTCTCATTATATACATCATATACATTATATATAGTACCTCTAACTGTACTCGAGGATAATTGTGCTGAATCTACAAGAACAGAAGCAAATGTAACTGTAAATGTAATGTAAATAGTTAACTACAAAAAGTTTGCGATCACTGTGAATTTAGAATACTATAACATCGAGAATTGTATGTCAGAATTCCGTGAATAACAATAACGTTATAAATATATACTTGTCGATGATAAAAAAAAAAAAAAAACGAAACAAAAGAAATAGAAAGAATTTAAAAAATAATTAGTGTGCGTATTGTTATATTTTTATTAAATTAAAACTCTTCTTCAGATAAGTGACTTTTATTTGATTTACTATATAGTTTGTGCGTGTACGCGCACGTAGCCAAAACGTGGAGATAAAAACAGTCCCAGTCATCCTTTATTATTCATGATTCGACATATAATTCTGTGTACATGTATAAACGAAAATATATCCTTGAACTAATCTTGGACGAAACTGGGATGACGAATAAATAATTCAAGTTCAAATTATTATTTTGTGATTTCTGAATAAATAATTCAAATTCAAATTATTATGTTGTGATTAATAACACTTCGATCGAGGCTGCGGATGTTCATGTATATATATTATAGAAATGATACACATTAAAATGTGCCAAAGTTAATAAAATCATAATAATTTCGTATGTTTTTTCGGATTCTATGCAACTAATCTATTCGGAATGGAGTATGGGCCTTCTGCGGTATTACTATTAGTCAAGTGTATAGTATAGTATAGTATAGTAGAGTAGAGTACAGCATAGTATAGTTTAGTACAGCATAGTATAGTCAATCTACCAAGTCAAGTTTTAAATATAAAGGTAGTAGTAAGAGGTAATTTCGTCGTTGAACAACGAAAACTCGAACTTGTCTTCACTTGAACTGATTTCATTACTACAATCTGTGCTTAACACTCAAAAACTTTGAAAGTAGTATTCCTATTGTCAGGACTGTCGATCGTGGATTAATTTCAGATAAGAAAATCTTATGACTATTTAAAAGTGTTTTTTTACACTTTGTAAGATAGGGAGTTAAAGAACCCACTCATGAAGCGACATTGTTATCAACCAGGAATCAAACATAAATAAACATTGTTACCATTCGAGTTATCGCATCAAACCAAATGGTGCCTGAGATTCAGTTCTCGAGTGCAAAGTGTTGATTCGTTATGGCGCGCTAACGCGTTTCTCGCATTTATGTTGTATTACACAGATGCCATCTAGTTGTGTAACGCAGTCAGGCTAATGGCCGGGTTAAAACGACGCCGCGCGAAATGTTATCGAGACAGAGAAAAACTGAGAACGGGTCAATTGCGGATGACACATGATGCGTGACGCTCAATCTGATACGACGAAGAATTCAGTGTACCGGCAAAGGATATTTCTACAATAGAAATCAAATTTTCCGGCTTGTTACAAGCCACACGATTCTCACGACGATACGTGAATAAACGTTCCGCAACTAGAAATAATTCTGTAGGAAACACGTGATTTTCATTAAAAACCTAACCTAATCTAAACCTAACCAACGGTTCATTCTCTGATCATAAAAATTCCTGAGACTCGTGGTAAGGAAATCGGGCCAAACAAGAACCACAGAAACAATAAGAAACCTAACCTAAATTTAACCAACGACTCATTTTCTGATCATAAGATACCGATCCTACTATAATAATACCATAATAACCCCTACAATATCGTGTGAGACTCGTAAAGAAAATCAGGCGAAACATACGAACCACGGGTGAAGGCCGTGATTTGTAGATCGGACCAAACGTGACCAATACGTGTCAGGCTCGTGGTTTGTGGATCGGACCAAACGTGAACAACACGAGCCAGGCTCGTAGCTAATTGTCGCTGATGTCTTTCTGTCTCAGTTACGTGTTATTCTTCGCCACGTTCGCACGTTTAAATATATATTTTCTTAAGAATATTAGAAAAAGCTCTTACATAAATGTCTTCGAAAAGGAAATTTAGCGTTGTTGAGGACAGTGAGAGTTGTGCAGATAATGATTCGATAGATATTTTTAATAGTGATAATGACAGTAATAGTGATATTTTATTTCCTGTACGAAAATGTTCGAAACAACTGGTTATTGAAAATGACATCGACGAAGAACGCATTAATCATCAACTATCAGAGCAATGGATTTGGAAAGAAGAAAATAATAAACCAAAGATCTGGAATTATACGGAGACTCCTGGCATAAAAGTGGCAACTTTATGCCAGTTGGGTAGAAACAAAAGGGAGTTGGACGTTTTTAACATAATATTTGACAATGCGTTTTGGGAAAATATCGTAACGGAGACGAATCGGTACGCGGAGCAAATAATAAACAACAAGAACAAAAGACGTAAAATCGACGACACTTGGTTTCCTGTGGATCGTGATGAAATAAAAGTATATTTTTCATTGTGTATAATAATAGCTCAAGTTAAAAAGCCAACAGTTCAAATGAACTGGTCAAGGAGGGCGGTTGTAGAGACGCCAATATTCAGGAAAACGATGCCATTGAAACGATTCCTGCAAATAACTAGATGTTTGCATTTTGCGAATAACGACACGTCCGACAATACAGATAAGTTACGCACAATGAAACCTGTGACAAATTTTTTCAATCAAAAATTCAAAGAAGTGTATACAATGGAAGAGGGCATTGCTATCGATGAATCGCTAATGAAATTCAAGGGACACATGTCTAAACAATTTAATCCATCGAAATCGAGGCTCGGTGTAAAATTTTGTAAACTGTGCGAGTCAGAATCGGGTTATTGCTATGACTTCAAAATATATACAGGTAGCGATCAAATAAATCTTAACGACAGTGCATCTCAAAGTGTCATGGAGTTGTTACAGCCGGTATTACATAGAGGGCATACTTTGTACTTGGGTGATTGGTACTCTTCGCCGGAACTGTTTGCAACTTTAGTTAACAGTGAAACTAACGCCGTTGGGACAGTACGTTCCGATAGGGGAAGCATGCCGAGAGATTTCGTTAAAGCAAAATTGAAAAAGGGGGAGTGCAGAATGAGAAGCTGCAATGGTATATTAGCATTAAAATGGAAAGATAAACGAGACGTTCATATCATTTCGACAAAGCACGAGACTGCAGAAATGACTGAACAAAATAAAAGTCAATTCAATCATACTTGTAAACCAAAATGCGTTATCGATTACAACAAAGGAATGATTGGGATTGAACGCCAGGATCGGATGTTAGCGTGCTTCCCCGTTATGAGAAAATACACGAAGGGACATCGGAAAGTTTTCTTTTATGTATTTGACATGGCGCTCTTTAACTCGTACATTTTGTTCAAAAAAATAAACGCAGGGAAAAAACAGAGTTACGCTGAGTATAGAATTGAAATAGCCGAATCATTGTTAAAAAATGTACCATTGCCAGAATATAAAGGACGAGGGCGATTATCGAACGGAGATTTACCGTTGAGACTGCACGCGCAACATTGGGGTCATTTCCCTAAGCATATAGGCCCAACACCATCGAAGCAAAAGCCATCAAGAGCTTGTAAAGTTTGTACGAAACACAAGAAGCGTAGTGAAACAACGTGGGAGTGCAAGAAATGTCAAGTTGCGTTACATGTACCAGAATGCTTCGAAAGATACCATACGATCGAAGATTATTAATTTTCTCAAAGTTCTTTTTCAAAACGCTAATAATTTAAAATAAGCATTAATTCAGAAATCGAAATAAAACGTTACTGACTGATTATTCACTTCCAGATAATAAATCATTTTTCTTCATTGATGAATCGCTCGTAATTATTCACATACATATTACATGACATCTTCAATTACATTACATGACAAACAACTTACATATCATAAAACATGGCATAAAAAAATTTGAACACTCAAACGCCAAACCGTTAAGTGGCTCGACGCATGCCCGGCTTTACTGTTGATTGATGCACTGTCGGAACTGAAATCGTAAGACGAGGAATTAAGTCATAGTAGATAAGGTACTCTATCGTAATATATTAAGTAGAACGAGTCAAAACTTATTCGACAATTATTTCATCGAAAGACAAAACTTGGTTATATAAATTGTCCAACGATGAAGATGTTTGGCACAGAACTATCTCGATCATATCCTTGATACAACGGTATTACGTGTAGCGTTATTGTTAAGATTTTCACATTCGCAATGGGACTTCGATCGAAAACAGTCCAATAAATATACATGTATAGGTGCGCAAGACGCACTCAGCAATCATGCTGCTACTCACTTTCTGTTGCCTGAGCCTTTCTTCGTCTTCTGCTCAACGAGGGAATTTCAACAACGCGTGTCACATTCTACAAATCGGATACCGTTCCTCCGGACGAATAACAAACTCGAACAAAACAGAACGACGTACGCATGCTTCGCGCAAAGCCTGCGCCGCTACTGAACGCAATTCTCAACCTCGACTCTCCTCTGCCTTGTTTCTTCGTTCTATGTGTGTGCTCAACGTGCCAGTGCGTTTGATCGTAACGTAAACGGCTTGCATGTACCTTTCGACGACAGTGTATATACCGTTCTTTCCATCATTTTTGTATATTATTTTTCTTTTTTCTAAAGCACAAGTTGATTCTAATTTTATGTAGATTGGAAGTTAAATAAATAAAAAATTTCCCCGTTTGATGTATATGTATATATATCCTCTTCGGAACAGTCGAGTGCACGCCTCGTGTTTCCGTTTTCATAAAAACGCCCTGAAATTCTTTTTGGTGCCCTTTTTCTTAATGCACACGATGAAAGGACCGAGATGTTTACCAGTGTTCACTTAAAAATTGACAACGCAGACGAATATGTACAGTTATAGTAAGTCACTATATACTGTAGTGACTAACCTAACTTTTTCCAAGCCCGATTCCTGAACTTAAGTCGACAACCATGGAAATGAGTCGAATTGGTTTAAGAATGGAAACACTTTATTTTATTTTCAAAACAATGTCATAGACTACGTAGAAAAATAATACTATCGTTACAATTTTTTCTTTAATATTTGATATAATAAATGTTCGTACGATATGCATTGTGTATAGTGCCATGAAATATTCGTATGTATGTACATTTGTATACATTTGTTTGTTTTCCTTTTTTCCCATATATGTATCTCATTAATGTGATCCTTGGAATGTGAATTTTTTTTTTAGTCTTGTATAAATATTGTCATACGTGTATCTTCCTTTCTTCCTCCCTCCCTCGCCACTGACTTCTGCTTATTCTATTTCGCATTTTACAATTCCTTAAATGTTATATCCATAATTTTACAATTAAAAAAATAATTCGTAAATTTCTCTTGTAAAATCAAGAGAATTCGAGATTTCAGTATGTATTTAATGGTGATTGAAGAAGACATACACACACACACACACACACACACACATGCTTTAGCCACACTATTAGCAGACCTGACTACTGTCAAATATAAATGAGATAAAGCGAAATTTCTCCTTGAAATGTGCACAACTTAGAATGCCATTGAAAGTTGGGCCATTCATTTATCCATGCGTATTAGAAAAATAGACAAGTGTTCAATTGCACTACTCCATAGAAGCAATAATGACCAGCTAATGTTAACACTTTACAATTATTCCTGGTGTTTAACAAATATTTATAGAGCGGCAAAGTACTTGAATTTAAGTGTTTGTTCATTCAAAAAATAACGCTAATTATTATATAAAAAGTGTTGTAACCATAATTTAATTGTCGATATTGATAATAAAAAAAAAATTATGAAGGCTTCTTTTAATAATATGAAAAGATTGTCGATATTGATAAAAAAACTACGAAGGCTTTTTTTAATAATACGAAAAGACCCTCGAATAATTAAGTTGTTTGCATGATTTGTAGATGTTTCATTTGGATGTTATAATATAAACACCTAGCAAAAATTCGATATATCCCTATAAAATAAAATAAAAATAAAATTACTAATCAATTGTATTTGTTATTCGCCAAATATAAAGGCATTATCTTTACTAAAAAAAAAAAAGGGAGGCATAGTACTTCTAAAATATACTGTATATCAGAATTGTTCATTTCCTAAATCGGTTGGTCACAAGTTATAATTATCGAGTTTGAGGATTCGATAACATTAATAAAAGCTTCTCGTAGGCATACGCTAAATTTTTAGCCAAACCTTTACAACATCCGTTTTCTTGTATAGTTTGGAATCTATAAGTTTTGAAATTTTTTTCGGTGTCTATATATGTAACAGCTGCCATCAGAGGGCACATAATAATTTTTGTATGATCTAGGAAATTAATCTAAAAATAAAATATTACAATTAAATATTTTTTTATCGCATTCAAAAATTTTAAAACTTAAATAGAAATACATCTTGAAATGTCTAATTACTTACTTGTACTGTTCCGTTAGTCAATTGCATAACTACAGCACTCTGTGTTCTAAACCATTGATGCATGTAAGGTATTCTAGACATAGCATCGCATGGTTTTACAGCAACAGAACTTCCAGCTTTCATCAAATGGTCGTTCATATACTTCAAGAAGAAGTTCATTAATCTCATTTTCTTATCTAATTCACTGGGATACTCTTTGACTGAATAATACAATTCGTCTCCTTCGCGATTTATATAATGAATGTTGTAACAATTAGCTAGCATTATTAAACGAGTGCCATCGTTGAACATTACACCCACACCATCATCAGAAAGTTGGTACCCAAATCCGTATTTATCCGAGTAGTCAACCCATTTGCTTATCCAAACTACAGGTTGTGCAGCAGGATCAGTCATTTCATCTATACAGTTAAAGCAACGTGTAGTATTTACACAAAACAAGTTGTACAGAATATAAGAATTTAACAATTACAAGACCAATTATTTTATTATCGTTATTTAAATAAACGTTAATTTTAATATAGAAAAGGAAAATAAAAGGGAGATGTGACTCATGCCTGAAGTTTCCATAAAAATCTGATAGGATCTTGAATATTCTGCATCAGCAAATGATTTCCATCAGTATAACGATAATTTCCATGCAAAACGCGATAATAATATTTAATCCCTGGAAGAGTGTACCTGTTAACGAAGCTGTCTCTCTACTTGGTTTAGCCTTTAATACAGCACTCAGCTGTTCTCTTAACGTCTGTAGCATCTTTCTAATGTCAAGGTTCAGTTTTTGAACTTCGCTTATCGCATCCGCAGGCTTTGTCTTACGCGCTGGACTATTACGGGATACTAAATTTTGTCCCTCTCCACCTACATTAGTATTCATCTCAGACAATGGCTTACGTTGATTATATATTTCCAGCATATCTAAGCGAGGTGCCATTGTTAAACATGATAATGGTAAACTATGCGGCATAAAACCTATAATGAAATTAAAACATTATCAACAAAAATTTCTTTTTAACCATGATGACAATGGCTTGCAACTCGTCAAAATTCAATTTACCACAAGTGAAAAATGGATCTTTCATTAGCTTCGTTATGGAAGGGCGTTTGGATGGATTTCCTTGCAACATATTAGAAATCATGTCAATCGCCATTGTATTAATATTTGCAGGTATTTTATACTGGACTTGCTTTATTCTGGCATAAGTTTCCCTTAAACTTGACGTTTCAAATGGAGGTTTCCCCACAAGTAAAGTATACATGATGCATCCAATACTCCAAATGTCAACTTCATAAGAATGTCCAGCTTTAGTTAAAATTTCTGGTGCTATATAGTTAGGTGTTCCGCACAGCGTTCTATTAATGAACTTGATGTTAATTCACTTTACATTATTATATTAAATACACAAGATATATATCAAAATGAATCATATCAAAATGAACATAGCAGTTACTTTTTACGTTCCCCTTCGTGTTCTAGTCTAGTGGCCAAACCGAAGTCACCAATCTTAACTTGCAGATCATCACTTAGAAACAAATTACCTAACTTTAGATCTCTGTGAATTATTTTATTTTGGTGCAAGTAGTTCACACCATCTAAAATTTGTTTCATATAATATCTAGTCTCGCATTCTGTTAATGCTTTTCTACGTTTATGCAATTCCATCATTGACTGAAAAGACACAATTGCTATAGATGATACATGGTATCTTTGAAACAGCTGGTGAAGCAAGCATTGAAGTATATTTACCCTTTTCCTGCACAACTCCAAAATTATATATACATTCTGTGGATCGTCAAAAAAACCATAAAAGCCCACAATGTTTTTATGGTTCAGTGTTTGATGAATGGAAATCTCTTGCGTCATTTTCTCTCTGTGATTGCTTTTTGTGATTTGCGATTTTGGTACGATCTTCCCAGCATATACACGATGTGATTCTGACTCTCTGATTTCGTAACATTTTGCAAAACCACCCTACAATAAAAAAAAAAGAAGGAAAAAGAAAAAGAAAAACACGAAATTGTAAAATGCAAGATGCAGAATGAAAAGATTAAAGTTACAAGATATACGGGACACGCTAAAACGCGTGATACAAACTTTCCTCGCAAAAGTTGTAGAGGAGAGCAACAAGTGCCAATGGTTGGCGTACACAGAAGAGAATATTATTTGATCGAACAAGTCTCAGCCTCTCAGACGAAAGTGCTTAGCAACTGTTAAATCTTCGAGGTCGAAAGAGAGAAAATCCGCCGAAAGTCCGAAGGAAATCACTTACTTTCCCGAAAAATCGTCCTTTGATATAACTTTTGCCCGAGCCTACATCGTATATCACGTCAGGAATAACGCACTCTTTCTCGTCTTTTGACATTTTGCACTATCTTCTCCCCCGGATTGTGCGGTACACTGCGAAAAAGATCACGCTCTACTGCTTGCACGCTCACGTTGCTCGCACGTTCCACCAAAAAAACTACACTCAACGCCAACTTTCCTCCTGAAATACAAATTTTCCTGTTTTTGTCATGTGGGAGACAGGCAACGGATTTCAATATTTAAACCTCAATATTTTAACCAATCCCGCGTTTCCCTGCGCATGTTGCCAACTGTGCGCGAACATTTGTTACTATACCTCTGGTAACAACAAGCCGCGTTTACACGAAACTGGTTACTGTGCGAGTTCCTCTCATTAAGAAAAATGTTTAGTATTCTACTCTCGATTTAAAAATGTTTTTAAACAGTAAATGCATTTCAGCGGAACGAATGAACAAACGGAATATGATGTTCAGAGCGTCGAAAAGTTACGCGTGATTGCACGTTGGCTAATCTAAAGAAACGAATTAAGAAATTTTTTATCCGTGTAATTCTAGAATCGAAATTTATACACTACGTTGTATTAAATTAAATATTTTCTTGCGAAATGAGGCTCCTTGTAATTATTAAAATCTCGGGATATCACGTGAGAACACGCCCTGGTAAGAAGGATATCCGGTAATGTCGGTGTAGTAATTTAAGTGGTCGATGCTTCTTTTTCCGGCAACCGGCGTCCATTTTCGTTGTTGGCTTGTCTAAGGTTGGCGCGTTTAGCACCTATGAACGGATAATTCAACGATAAGCGAGATAAGTAAGTACATCTCCCGTAGAAAATAAAGCTTGCATTCTATTCGAATTTCTTTTTAGAGTTTACTAAACTTCCACGATACGTTGGCGTAAGTAGTTGCGATCAGGAAAAAAAAAAGCTTCGTTGATTGATCTGCGAATATTAGCGTCTGTGCAGTGAATGAAAATTTCGTCGCTCATAAGGAAATCTCGTTGGAATAAATTTTAGATACCGATCGATCAATGGAAGGCGCGCCAGCCAGTCGAGGTGGATTTCGTGGTGGCCGTGGTGGGCCGGGCGGTCCTATGAGAGGACGCGGTGGTTTTGGGGACAGAGGAGGAAGGTACATCTGCATACATACCACACAGTTCTACCTATATATATGTGATGCGTGTAACCTGTAACAAGCTTCTCGCAAGCTAATTCCAAGACTTTCTTTTTAAATTTTGAGATGCATTTTTCTCATTTATTTCTCAATTTATGAAATTAATTAGAATATAGTTATTAACTGTGTGACTCAAATATAATAAGTCGCAGAAATATTTATACTTACATGTCCTATATGAAAAAGATTTTGGTCCAACTATCATGATTGCATTGATAAAGTTTTTGGCAAGATATTTGTTCTAAATATACATTCAATGAAGAATTAATATAAAAGATAAATAATTATCCGAAGTATTTAACAAATAGTTCTACCCAATATTGTATAAATGTTTTTGGATTTTTTTTTTAAATTTACAAGATATTTGTTCTGAATATTTAATATTTAATGAAGAATTCATATAAAGAATAAATAGTCAGTTGTATTCATATAAATGTTATAAATGAACTAAATATTTAATGAATGATTTTGTGATCTGTAATAAAATCGACAAGAAATTTGTCCCAAATATATATCTAATGAAGAATTAACGCAAAGGATAAACAGTCATATGAAGTATTCAACAAATTTTACAAATATTAAACAAATGCTTTTGCGCTCTATGTAAAATATATGTTGTCATGAATATTTTCTAATACATTTTCACATCTGTGAGTTTTGAAAATATTTTGTACAACATATCTAATATATATCCAAAAATTTTCTGTGATAAACAATAAGTTAAAATAATTATATGAATCAGTAGAATATCAATGCAAAACACAATGTATTTATATTCTACAATTTATTCTTTATGAAGTTCATGTAATAATGCTACAAGTTATGAAAGTGATGACGTATTAACAGGGGTGGCCCTCCGAGGGGTGGTGGTATGATGAGAGGTGGCAGAGGTAGTGGACCTGGAGGTGGAATGAGAGGCGGTCCACCAGGAATGAGAGGTAGAGGTGGTCCTCCTGGAAGAGGTGGTCGTGGTGGACATTTTCCTCCTGGGTATTTAAACACAAAATTATCATTTATTGAATTACTTTATTGCAACATTTTATTAATGTTTGTTGTTACATCAGGGGTCCACCGGAACCAGGAATGTCTAGTGGTCCAGGAGGTGGTGGACCACCACCACCAGGAATGGGAGGTTTACCGCGTGGTGGTAGCAGAGGAGGTGGAAGCAGTGGTTTCCGAGGCAGAGGAAGAGGTGATTTTGGTAGGAGTGACAATCCTAGAGGTAGTAGCAGTTTCCGTGGACGAGGAATGGATAGAGGCAGTAGAGGAGGATCTCGGTAAAATTTATAATTTCTGTTAAATTCAAGATTATATATATACAGTACCATTGAATGAAACTTTCACGTATTTTCAGAGGTGGATCTGGTAGAGGTGGTCTAGGTGGCAGAGGCTTTGGCGATCGTGGAAATAGAGGAAGTAGTGGACGTGGTAGTGGCCCGTCGAAAAGGGGAGGTGGACCACCAGGCTCGAGCGGACCTTCAAAAAGGCCGAGATTTGATCAACCATCTTCGCAATCTGCGAATGGTTATGCCACTCAACCACCAAGGTAGTTGTTGCTCTAAATCTGTAATTATTAGCTTGCAATAAGTTGATCGGATTAAAGTGTATTATTTTATTATGAAAAAATTCTTTATATAGTCAAGGATATGGAGGTGGAACTAGCAATGCCTATGGTGGAGGACAGCAACAACCGCAGCAGCAGCAGCCAGTAGGATACGGTGGTGGTTATGGATCACAAAATTATACTCAGTCATCGTATCAAAGCTACGAAAGTTATCAACAACCGCCAGATTATGGTCAAACAGCTGTAAGCTCATCACATTAAAAATGTCAAATTAAACAGAGTAGAAAATTTCACTAACATGTACGACTTTGTTCAGGGATATCCACCGTCAGCAGCTACTGATAGTAGGTATGGAGGAGCATCTGCTGTACCAACTACAGGAGCTTTCAGTACTGGTGATCCTTACAGCTATGGCAAAGCTCCACCATCAGGTTAGTATATGTGACACTGTAAATTATTTAGTTTAAATATTTTCAGTAAAATTGAAAAACAGTTCAATTAATAAAAAAAAAATTCGTTGCGCAAATGACATAAAGGGCAATATTATTATTAATGTGGTGGTGTAATTAATATAATATACTGCGTGCACAGCCAATTACCAACAGGAGGCAGTTGCAGCAGGGGGTGGGGGTGCAGGTTATGCCCCTATTAACCCTTACGATGACCGATCTTCTAATGCCACTTCTATGAGCAACAGGGGTGGTTACTCGACGCAACTTTATGGTTAGTTTTTCCGTTCGACACCACATTTTACATCACGTATTTATCTTTTTCTCGGTTTCACTTAAAAAGAAAAAAAAAAAAGAGAGAAGGGACGAAGAAGGAAAATGAAAGAAATAAGTAATCCATAATATAATACCTTGTCCTTATAGTCTTTAATTACTAGCACTTCTTATGCTCAAATATCAATCGATTCAGACGAGAAACGTTTAATTAGAAAAAAAAATTTATCTAAAGTTTATCTTTATTTTCTTTTCTTTTCTCAACAAAAAATAGATTTAGTTTTACTTTCTTCTTTCAACTTGTTACTTGCAATTAAAGGTTGCGTTTCATAACTACTCCTATTTTAAAAAAGCGAAAATAGAAATTGATACGGTGAAGAAAAATGTGGATATCGTGAATATTTGAATACCAGCACTGCAGCACTGCCTCCTGCTATTCTCCATTCCAGAATGAACTGTACCTGTACAAAAAGAAAAAAGAAAATCTTAATGTCTCACGAAATTTATTTTGATATAGGTAAACAAAATATAGTTGAAGTTTTACATCTAGTGAGTTACAGATTTTTCTCGTCTGAGTCACATCTACATTACTTGAAGCAACATTGTTAATCAATTTGTAACTTTTATTTGTTGTACTTGCAGATTACTCCAGTCAAGATGGTGTGTACGGAAAACAAGATTATGGTAAGTACAATTCGCAATTCAGACGAGCTTTTTAACTTTTGAAAGACCAATATTTTCTCGTGAACGAAATGCTTAGGGCCGGGTTTAAACATACCGTCACGAAAACATACCGTCGTATTTGTTAATCCAATGAAACGGATATTTGAAAGAAATTGAAAACGAAGTCCTGTTGTGAATTATTTTAATTCATATAAATAAATTTATGACGGATACATACAGAAATGTTTAATGTTAATTGCAAGAAGTAGAGACAAAAAAATTGTGGCATAGGATTATATTTTTACTGCATTCTTAGAAACAAAAATGAACATAACGACAAATCATAATTTCGGTAGTAAATTATAATTGTCGAACAAAATGGCAAACACATATACCGTAAAATTTGTTCTTTTTTTTTTGTATTTTCAAGCAGAGTTAACATAACGAATAGTTACAGTGAAAAAAGAAAGAAAGATGCACCCGACAAAAGTAGGCAAATAATATATATATATATATATATATTATTCAATTTTATATGATGATTAATATTCTATATAATATAAAGTTAAATGCAGATTAAGAAAAAAGAATATACACAATACAAAACTACATGCTTAAAAAGATGATTGAATGGAGGAGCTATGGTTGTTTACAGGTGGCAGTGCTGGTTACCAAAACGCCCAGTCTCAGCGACGTTATTAAATTACACTTGCAACTTTATTTAATTTTACATATTTAAATGTCATTTCTTTCTAAATTTAAAGAAACAAGAAAAATTGTTCCTAGCGCGTGAAAAAGTTGGACAAATATCATTTGTCACGAACACCAAGTTTTCCGTAATATTTCGCCGACGGAATTATATTCAAATGAAGAAAGTATACTCGTAGGAAGAAAAAAAAAAAAAGAAAGAAAGAAAGAAAATAACGGAAATACAATGAAATTTCTATATGATTTTCTATCTTTGTCGCGCGCATGGAAAGCCCGTCAAATTACGCGTTAAGCGCGAGCAATTGTTTAATTACGATTTAAAAAGAGAAAGAAGAAGTATATAAATGACATGAGCGTTTTATACTTGACTTAGCAGTGTAGTATTCTACTTTCGTCACATTTGGTTCAGAACATTGTTTTAGGATTAAGTTTAGTTGATGTACAGTTTATCTTTCTTTTCCTTTATCTGCGATTGTGAAATTGTAATTATTAAGGGCAAAGAATATTCTCTGTTTATAAAGTCATTAATTGATTGATCATTGTGAAGAAACGCATATATAATTCAATTATCTTCAAAGAAGTAGTTGTAAAAAGATCAATATCTTACTGTTCTGCGTGGAAAAAAACAATCAGAAGCAAACAATTGTATATTATGGTATTTTGTTTTATACTTAACTATAAATTGAAGAGAAAGAATCTTGTATCAGAATATATACTGCCCCTCTTTATGCGTTTAACAATGCGACGTTTTTATTCTGACAATACTTTTGTTGTCATTTAGCAACAAGCTTATAATATAACGATTGAGTCTTACTGTTGCGACATTTCATTTCCTGTGTGCATATGTGTATATATATGTATATATATATATATATATATATATGTGCTTATATCCACAATTATATACTTTCAACTTGCAATTCAATTTTTATGCAAACTATATATAAAATGCTCTGCTTAGTGGTGACAAAGATTTCTAAAAAGTTAAATGAAAAAAATGTTAAAAAGTTTAATGATGACGATTTTAAGAATTTTTTCCAACTGTTTAAGTAGTGATTATGTATTAATAGTGAAATGTCACACCGGCAGAGACAATCAAAATGGCATATTAGGTTAAAAAAAAGAACTAGATATTTATATGGAAATTAAGAAACGACGTATCTATTCAAGGCTCAGAGTGCATGAGTACGGAGTATTTGTCCCAGCAAATCGTGTATATTGAAATACAGAATAATTATATAGGGCAGACAGTGTGATCTTATATTCTGTTTACTATTATAAATTACAATGAAATTGTCTAAACTATGTTAAAAATTATCGTCGCATGTCATTGGTATAGCGGTAGTGAATCAATTTAACATTGTAAGAACTAGAGTAATTACAAGCGAAATGAAAAGAAACTTTGAAACAAAGAACCATAAAAAAAAGTAATATTTTTCACGTTTATTATTTCCTCACCTTTAATATGAGAGGCTATACGGACTGAATTCCAAAGAACATTTAGCAATGAAAATGGAAAAACCAGCAACTGCCTTAAAAAAGCACATATACATAAAAAAGTAATTCAACTGAAAAGAATACAGTGTATTCGTGTAACATAACGTAGGTATGAAATTTTTGTTAAAAATCAATAATCTTTTGGAAAGTAAATTCTTTATATCTTATACACAAAAGAGCTAAACAAAAATTCTTTTTTATTTTATTATATGTAGTTTATTAAAGAAAATATTTTACATTCAAAATGAAGTGTGATGTTTAAAAAATATATATATATATTTATACATAAGAACAGTATTAATGGACAGTTCTAGATATATATATAAGAAAAAAAAAAATTGACAAAAACTGAGTTTATTTCACAGGCGTAACAACAACCTGAGATACGTAGGGAACAGAATGAAAGAAAGAGAGAGTACCTTCCCTCTGTTACCAGCAAGGAGAATACCAATTCAAATAACAATACAATATTATATGAGTAAATGACGACTGATATGATAGATGTTATTAATGTCCAATGGCATCAGGTATCATGTAAATGAAACTTAGACAGTATTTTTTCTGTTAGAAGTATTATCATAGTATATTTCATTAATTAGAGTATCTTTGTTTGATTTTTCCAAGCGATTAACCGACTTGTACTAAATAACCTTTTACGGTGCACCTCATTTTTTTTTTTTTTTTTCTCCATTCAAAATATTGTTGCAATTCTTTTTCAATATGAATGTCATCACTTCAATCCATTGTTTTCCACATGCAAACACTTAGTTGCATCTTATACATATATGATATAGAAAAAAAGAATAGAAAACGTTTACAAATTTAAAACGAAAACAGAAAATATGAAATAGTATATATATGTATATAAAACAAACAAAAAATATCAATGGAAAAGCAAGCAACAAGAGTTGAATTAAATCTATGCTAACATGTATTATGCTCGTATATATTAAAAGACAAATGCTCGAGTAAACCTCAACCCGAATTCAGGTGAGTAAAATAAATCTATCCGTTTTTTATAAGAAAAAAAACCAATCTACAACTTTAGTACAAAGCAAATGTTAGCAAGGATAACAATCATAATAATCATAATCGTAATAATTAGATCTGCATCTATCGAGTGTAAAGTGGAATGGTGTATAAAGGTAATTTTGTTTGTATTTGTTTTAAGAACGTGGAACAAAGAATACATATCTGAAAGACACACAGTAAAAATTTCTTTCTTTATTGAACCGCTTTATACGTGCGATACTTGCAGTGTATTGTTCAATCATGATAATGGCAATAAGGTAACAATCGAAAGGTACGAATTGAGAATTTCTTAAAGAACACGTTACTTTACAAAAACCAAGTACGATTTATCGTAACATTAACATAAAACAAAAACGAGAAAGCAGGGAAGGAATGTACCGAACATTTATCAAAGAAAGGAGTTTAAAAACATATTTCTATGATTTAAATTGATAACGAGAGCAATAATATAATTTATATACTAAACATGTAATGCGTCAATGCTAGGTATACTTTTAAGATTTCATTGCTTCTGTTTTATCTACCAACTTCTAATTTTTTATTATTAATTTCTTTAGGTTGATAACGACTATGCTGTCACAGATGGTCGTACTACCAATTCACTGAGCCAAGCAACATCTGCCACATGACTGGCATCGACGTTGTTCTTCAAGAAGATTCAAGTCTTTTTTTTTTTTTTTTTTAAATGTTACAATGGCGAAAAATATTGTAAGATGGTAAGGAAATATCGTACGTTATCAAAAGATAGAATTTTTAAGAATTTGTAAGTTTATAACAACTGTTCACGGTAAAAGAATATGTCTTGTTTTATAAATAAAAACTTACAATTTATACCTTTAATTAATGCCGTTTTCAATTTCAATATGCAACAAACGATAAGAAGTATAAAAAGAATACATAAATCACAATCGAAATTTTTATTTTTTAAATCTTTCAAACTAACTGTTTAGCAACATTACATGATACTTTTCAACAATGAAAATTTTCCAATGAAATTGGTTACACCTGGTACGAAGTATGACTCTTTAAACATAACATCACATCTTTGATTTTCCTGATCTTTACGAAATAAAATATTCATACAAAAGTATAATTTCAAGAGTACACATGAACGTACACGCGTAAATTTGGATTATTGATCCTAAAAATTTCTCTTTTACTCTTCCGCATAGTTATTATGCATTTCTTACGTCCAATTTCAATTTGTATAAAATTCAAAACTTACATTACGTTAAAAAAGTAACAAAAATAGGAATAATACAAAGAGAATGGTTGTTTAATGGAAAAGTCAATTGTTTATAAAACAAAACTTTAAAAGTACAAATTTTAAACTTAAAATTAAAATTTCTGATTCGCACTTACGAATGACATTCTCTTACTTTCTCGTCGATCACATTAATGTGAAGTAAGTTCTTTTTTCATTGTCACATGGCACAACACTAGATTTTTATACTTTTTAATTTATCGTAAACGCTTCTTACGGACATTGTTAGACAGAAGTACCAGTTGTATGTAACTGTATCCCTCTCGCATATTTATCAATCTAAAAAAAAAAACATTTTAGTACTTCACATAAGAAAAATGTGATTTTGACTTTACGTTAATTACATACCGATCTCTTTCCTGTTGCTGAATGTGAACTCTGTCGCCCCTCTGCAACGGAGTTATTATACTTGTATAACAGGATACTTCTGCGGCTGACGAAGAAGAAGCTGTGGAACATTTTACAAGTTTCTGAGTACTGGATTTACCTTCTGAAGTTAACAGTACCCAATAGGAATAATTTATTCGCTCGCCAAAGTAGAAAATCTGAAAATGAAACGAGGTTTACGAAAAAACGTGCGAAGCGTTGATTCTGAATGTCAAACAATAATACACGCGGTGTTTTACCTGTGCAGAAATCATGTACAAACCGGTTGCTGTGACTTCGATGGATTTCTTATCCTCCACTAAATGGAATTTATTTAAATTATACTGAGTACTGTTTCTAATACTTTTGACCCATGGACCAATGTAAACTGAAAAATATAAGTACATTTATTACTTAATTAAACGATGATAATCTTATATCTAAATTAATATGATACTTAATGATCTAATTGAACATCGTATTAATCGTTTTTTATATACCTGTATCTGTGATATGTTGCTCTGGAATTGCACCCACAAATGTTGCTACCAAAGGCCCTAAACAAACATTCTTTGTACAATTTCTATGTCTAACAAAACAGCTTATATTAGGTAAGTGAAATTAACAATCGACTTTTGCAAGTCTTTTTCATTCGATTCGTTTAGTTAACAAGTTTATGACACAAATTTGTATCTTGTCATTACTTTTCTGAATGCTCAATTAATTTTGCAGATTGTTTCAGTATCTTAAAAAAAAAAAAGAAAAAAGATAGAAAGAGAAGAAAGAAACGAATCGTACACTGGAATTTTTTGGATACAATCGCATGCTAACTAAATACATAATACTAAATACCCAATCGCCTGTGACTGCGTTTGGGCCGCCTTTTGTTCTTTCCCCGTTTTTTACCTCTTCCCTCCTCTCTCCTTGATCTTCCAGAACGGGGTTCTCTCCAGATATCTAAGTCATTATCATTATCATTATCACTATCATCATCATAATCATAATCATCATCGTCATCTCTATAATAATCATCATTCACATTATTATCAATCTTTCCGTGTATGCCTCCTTCTGTTAAATTCTCTTTCTTCAACGTTAACGCTGCCCTTTCAACACGCGAGTTACTCTTATCACTATTATCGTCCTCGTTGCTTATTAACGCCATAAGCAGCTTAGAAGTTGCAACGTTATTTCCATTGTTTATGGGGTCCGCGGCATCGTAAACGTAAGGATTGTCATTAATCTTATTTCGAATTCGGAAAATGTCTGTGGTCTTGGACATCGAAGATGCTTCTTCTAACAGTTTATTCACATCGTCAAGCTTCCTGTTCTCGAGAAATTCGCCGCATCTTTGGATCCAGGCTTGGTTCTGCCTGTCGTACTTGGACGTCACTAATACTAAATTTACGTTTAAAGATTGCACCTAAAAAAAAAAAGAAAAAAATAAAATGAGGAACGATGAAAAGTTGTTTAATTTCGTCGTTTGATTTCGTTTCATTGTACAGGGTGATTCATGAAAAACGAACCGCCTAAGCATTTGCTTCGTCCCAACGTGAATAATGAGAGAAAAAAGAAGCCCTTTTTATACATGCTCCTAGGAATATTCCTCGGCGTAACTTTGTTACCCCTGATGCGATAAAGCATATTTAGGTGTTTTGTTTTTCACTGTTTTACCCGATTCACTGATTTAACGATTCGTTGTTATTTACTTGTAGCTGCAAGGTGTGCATCTCCCTGTTCAAGCGATACAGCATAATGGCAACGAGAATCGCTGAAAAGAACATAACAACGGTGCAGAATCTTTGGAACATCTTTGACTTTTTCACGTTCGACACGATCACTCTCATGTCGACGTTCCATTGAATTAAATTTGCCGCGTTTTTCAATGGGTCGCGACCGACTGACAGATCGATGTCACTTTGGCTCTCCATTGTGATTTTCGTCGCCATCGATCACAGGGAGACCTGTTGTGTATCGATCAATCGTGAAGAAAAACGCGTTGTGGACTAGTTTTAATTGTATATGTACATATGTACATATATATATATGTATATTATATCACAAATGACCTGAAATATATACACATAATTTAATTTAATGGCTTTTTCATTTGAAAAGTAAATTATAATTACATTGTTACACCCTTTAGTCGATAAATATCGACGCGATGTAATATCTCACTTCGTTGAAGAAGAGAAGAAAAAGAAGAAACGCTAAGGTAATAATTATATGTTAATAGTCACTGACACGACGATACAATCACTTTTTATTTTCTTTCGTATTTCAGTAAAATCAATGAACTAATTATGCCTTTCACCTTTATCGTTAGAAAACAAAGAAAGAAAATAGGAAAGACAAAGGTGACTATTACGCGTCGATAGATCGATCGATCTTTTTTTATTTGTTTTCAATTCACAATCACCGTGAGTGTACGTACGATTGACTGTTGAGAAAGAATACTACGAGACAGCGACAGTGACAAAGGAAGTGGCGTGCGGATCTTTGAAAAAACGTTGCGTTAATCCGTTTCGCGCGCGGACGAGGCTTCTTATCGAACTGACTGAACTGATTTCAAAACTGCGGAAGTATATATACACGTGCATATAATGTCATGAATTCGTCATACGCACGTGGATGTGTCAGCGATAGAAATGAAAGAAAGCAACGGAACTGCTGGACAGAGAAAACGCGAGTGAGGAGTCTAGATAGCGTGCAAATGAGAGACACACTTATCTAACAATAAGATTGACACGTACGATTTTAAATTATAATATTTATATATATAAGTATATGTATATATATAAGTACACGGTATATAAATTATATACGTATATATAATATATAAATCTAAAATAAATTATTTTAGAATTTACAATAAATATTATGTTATTAACCCCTTGCGCTGGCAACTGGTTCACGGACCATAACGAGTGACCAAACCGTATACAATAATTACGAACTGGTACACGAACCATAACGAGTGACCAAACCATATACAATAATACTAAGAATTAATACTTCTCACTATTGTCAATACTGAGAAATTATTAAGAAGTAATAAATTTATTATTTATTTTGCCTGGGTCACATCAATATTATATTTAAAACTAATTTACTTAAAACTGAAAAAATATTGCAATTTTGGGACCAAAAATTCTCGGCGTACGTGGCATTCCAGGACAAGAGGATAATATAATATATTATATATATATAGTATATAAATTATATATATAAAATACATGTATAAATCTAAAATTATTATTAACATAATATTTATTCATAATGATGAATTGAATTCATAATAATATGTATATTTATATATTTATGTGAATTCATAATAATATGTATATTTATATATTTATGTGAATTCATATAATATGTATATTTATAATGAATTCATAATATATCATATATTATGCATAAATATTATGTTAATAATATAATATACTTAAAGTATATTATATACTATATACTATAAAGTATATAGTTACATACTATATATAGTACACACACACACGCACATATATATATATATATATAAATCTAAAATAAATTGTTTTAGAATTCACAACAAATATTACATCAACTACGCATTGAATGTTACGTCAAGCGTATCATAATTAATTTTTCCAATTAAAAAAGAATCACGCTTTGTTTTTCAGGCATACGCATCGTTTGAACCCCTCGATTATTATTTACACCCTACCCTTTACGCCAGGCGTCGACACGGTCACCTCATTCAAACTTCCGCAGCATTGTTTCTTCATTATCCGCGGAACAGGAGGCAGGTCCGTTCCGAAAACCGAGCAAAAACGGAATCCCGAAACGAGATTTCAATCTCAACACGCGACAATATCGAACTCACTGGACGAAATATCAGCACTTGCGTCGCTAAGAAGTTCGAACGCGACCGAACGAAGTGAGAGAAGAAAAGAAGAAAAGAACGCTTCACCGCGTGGATATCCATGCAAAAGAGGAAAAAAAGTGTCGTTGCTTGCTTACCTGAGTGACATTTTTGTTTGTGTTTTTTTTTTTTTTTTTTGGTCAGTTCTCCAGCCTTGCTCGAGTGGAGAGCCACGGTCGCGTGAGATCAATCGATCCGCGGAATCGATCCGCTCGCGTAGCTGGCGAGGAGAACGAGATCGTGGACGACGATGTGCCGTGGCACCTTTTGTTTACCTAGCCACAGTCGGTGGCTCCCGAGAGCGTCCTCCGGAATGTTACGGCGACTCCGGGCTCGACCGGTTTGGCGGCTATTCGGCCCGAGTGTTGCCAACATTCGCCTGGTAAGATACTATACCTTCGGCCCTTTCTCTCGCTTTTGCCGAGCAGTTTTCGCTCTTCCTCGTGAAACGCGCGCGCGAATAACGACCAACGAGAACCGCGGCGATTCTACATGGAGATTTCGCTTACTTTCCTAGGAAATCGTCGGATCTGCTTCCCGCGTTAAATGCACGTTGCAACTAAATACGGACAGCTCGATATTTACACCGAAGATAAGAGATCGTTTAAGAGCGACCTTTCGGTAAGATTTTATTAAACTTCTGTTATCTGCGAGATACAAGATACAAGGCGGAGATAAGGTTACGCTTGGAAGCCACTTGAAAGTGTTTAGAAAGTTCTGACGAGTGAATATATTCTACTGAAGACTCTCCCAGGTCGGGGCTCGTTCTCAAGGACGATGGATCTCATTTCGAGCTGGATTCTCCCCGGTTGTCACAACTTTCAACAAACTTTCATAATTTTTTTTTTTTCCTTTTTTTACGATTTTTATAGTGCTGATGAAATATTAGGGAAAGTTTGTTAGTTACTTTTTGACAAAAGTATTGACAGCAATGTTCTCTTTCGCAAGTTCATGCAGATTCTTTAAGACGCCAGTTTCTCTTTTGTCATTCTAACTTTTCAGTTTCGATCGCGTACGATCTCCGCGATCGTTGCGTTCGATCTTTCCATAAACAAGGTCTTTCAAGTTTTCATTCTCATCTACTTTTTATCTTTTTTATTGATAATTCGTAGTAATGTCAATCTGTACGATTCCAAGAAATATTAATGAACGATCTAGACAATATTCTTCTTTTGTATTTTTAATTTAAATATTCGTAGATTTCGCGGAGAATGGGATCAACAGTATAAAATTCGAACACGTTGTCATTGCTTGAGCGATAACAATTGAATGTCAAAACAAGACGTGAATATAGAATACCAAGTGGCACAGTCAGTCATTCAGAGATACATTCGATTAAAGGGGAGCATCTTCTTGATCATTATTAAAATGTTACAACTTTACAGACATATGTAAGTTTCAATCAAGATCAGGTTATTACAATTACAAATACATTATTATTGCAATTATAAACATATTTATTGATTAGTGAGAAACACAATCAAAATCTGATTTGCCTAATCATAGATCATTATCTAGAGAATGTTAACGACCTTAGAGACACATGTAAGTTTCAATTAAGATCAGATTATTTCAATTACAAATGCATTATTATTGCAATTATAAATATATTTATTGATTAATGAAAAACACGATCAAAATCTGATTTGCTTAATCATAGATCATTATCTAGAGAATGTTACCACCTTACAGACACATTTAAGTTTCAATTAAGGTCAGATTATTATAATTACAAATACATTATTATTACAAATATAAGCATATTTATCAATTAATGAAAAACTCGATCAAGGATTCTTAAAATTTGATTTGCTTAATTCTAGATCATTAGAATATTACAACACTACAAATACGTGTAAGTCTCAATTAAGATAGTATTATAAATATTAAGATAGTATTATAAATATTATAAATATTACAATTAGATCATTACATCATTACGTTATTACTACAATTATGAACATTTATCAGTGAACAAAGAACGTAATCAAAGATATTAAAAAGTCTGATTTCTTTGAAATTCTAATTCTTATTTTTTAGTATTTCAATACTAATGACGATTAAAGAAGACTAAAGCTCTGCAATGTAAACGAAACAATGATGTGCGAATGAATGCAGGCAATGAATGAAAAACGAATAATGTTTGCCTGGTCTCTTAATCTCCTGGCGTTGAGGATTTCAAGATAGTCGAAAATATTCTTTCTCCGTACATAGCGCATTTCGACGCTATATTTAGCAAATAGTTTCGCTATGCCGGATCGATGCAGTGGCGTCGATCGACGAAATCTCGTGCACAACCAAAGTTCCGCGTTATCGCCACTGGATTTCAGCCATATCGTCGCCATTAGAGGGGAGGTTTAAACTACATCTAGTTAATAACAATCACATCGTTGCACGTGTGGGAAAACAATTGACGTGGTTATTGCTTGTAGCACATCGCTTGCAACGCATGTAACACGTCGTTAATACCGGAAGTGGAGGTCATTGGTTCGCTCCATTGAAATGAAACTGCGTTTATGTTGTTATGCTTTCTTCCCCCCCTCTTTTTTTTCTTTTTGTTCTTCTTTCGTTCTTCGTAATCGAATTTTCTTCTTTAGTGAGGAACTCGGATCTCGTGACCAGAGCGTGAGGAAAGCCACGAAAACAGCGTGTAGGCAGCGGCTAAACGAGGAGAAAGGGCGAATGAAATAATTGGCAGGCCACGAACGGGGCACGCTTCGGCTCGTCAGCCAGTAAATTGATCCAGATACCTCGAAATTTGCCGTCTTCCTACGTGAACCAGCTCAATTACACACTACATGCGCTCCGCGATGATTAATTAGGATCGCTAGGCCACTGGAATTTCTGATAACGCCGCTATTGAGAACGCAACGTGAAACCGTTTCGCTTTCCGTTTCCTTGAATCATCATAGTCAGCATCCTCGCTACAAGGAGTGAATCGATGGATTTCCTTGCGAATCGTACACTGTATGTATAACCGTATGTAAACCTAAACCGTGTAAATTATAAAATTTCTAAAGTTGTAAAGGCAAGGTTGATAGTAACTTATAACGAGATGTGTTCATGAACGGAATTTGACGATGGCGCGAGGAAATGCCTGCGTTTAGTAACGACTGTTCGCAACAGTGTTTCTCAACCTTTTTCTGGCCATGCACCACCTAAGCATCTCTAAAATCCACTCCTGTAACACATAATTCTTCATCATTCAAAAGGTGAATTTTTGACGTGGAGAAAGTTCAAAAGGCCATTAACTTGGTCTAAAGAAACTTTTAAAAGAACACGACGTTCATGAAAGGAAAAGACAAGTTGAAGAAATCACTAAGGAATTGTTAAAGAAAATGATTAAATGAAGTGATAAACAGCAAATAAAGTTTCAAAACACAGAAAAGAGAAATGCGCAAATATAAAGTAACTTTAATGGAAGCTTCTTCTGTAACATTACGATCATTTAAATTATTATAAAATGAAATAACGGTTTCAAAATACAATTTGAGGTCATCTTAAGGTGAAATGCAAAAAATTCACTGTTAATAACTCATTCTCAAATTGCCTGTGTGGGCCGTGGACCCCACGGGTTGGGAACCACGGGTTTATAAGATACAATGTGATGTACACATTCAGGAGAGATTCTCGAGAAATTTACCTAAAGTACGGGCAGACCTGGATGAAATTCACGTCGAATAATAATTTGTAAATAAATTTTTGAAGTGACGTTCTTTAGTATTTAGCAAACAGTAGATTTCAATTAATTGGGAAGATAGTAAATTGAAAAACTGATTATTTGAGAAAGTAATGTTTGATGATTGATAATTTGTCTTTTGAAATATGTATGAATGAAACGAAAATATTCAAATGAAGAAAATGAAAAATAATCAGTGAAAATCAAAATAATTTATTGCTGTGTGTTATCATGGCAGATGATGGAAATTTGTCGTAGCTTTTAAGAGGACTCAAACATCTGGCCCATTATTGAACAAAGTTTGGGGACATCTGTTAAAGTTGCAAATGAGAATAATTTCTCTACTGATGACAAAAACGGGAGTATTATATTTTACAAATATTTGTTTTATTATTATATGATCATGGAGCATATCTAAATTTCTTCGTCATCAAAAAATCGAGCGATATCTATTTCAACTTGTGTTTGTAAATGAGTGTGATAACTATGTGTAGTCGCAAGAAATACAAATATTGGACGTTATACCTTGAGAAACGAATTATTTCTATCAAAATCAAAGATAAAGATTCTGGCAAATAGTAATTTCAGAAGTATTTAATAATATAATTTTGTTATTTTACAGATAGATTATTTCTGAAACGAAGTAACTTAAAAATTCAAAAAGTAATTTGAAAAGTAACAATAATAAAAAAAATTAATTTAAAAAGTAATTTAACCTAACCAAAAAGTAGGTAAAGTAAGGTAATTTCAAACCCTTTACCTAACTTTGAAAGTAAGGTTAAAGTAAGGTAACTTTAAAAAGTAATTTAAAAAGTAATAACAAATAATAAAAAAGTAACTTTAAAAGGTAATTTAAAAACAATTTGTTATTTGAAAATTTTTCAAAACAAGTCTGAAGCAATGCGAATCTCGTCGAGGCAAGTTAACTGCCTCCCGACTTGTATTAAATTACGTCAAAACGTCGGATTTCCGGGAATACCAAATTATTACCATGTTAATAATCGTGGAAACTTCAAAAGTGATATCATCACCGTCATCATTAGATTATTATTTGTTCCCACATCCTACGATTCGATGAGTATCAGTTTCCTCGTGACCGTTCACACATCAGTCATTGTAATCTGTATCTCCCAATGTTAACAGGTCGTTCGATTATCGATAAGCGAGTGATAATCTTCATTGTAGCGAAACGAGATCCGTAAATTTCCGAAGAAATTCCTTCGATTCGTTCTCACGGCGTTGCTTCGCGGAATAGTGGGCAGTTCCTGGAGCCGGTGAGTGTCGCATTCGACGTTCCCAGGTCGACGGAAGAGGTGCCTGAGAGTCAGACATGCCTGATCGCAAAATACGTTGATAATAAAATTTCATGTCGGAGGATATTTTCGTGGAACGTGCGCCTCGCATGGGAAACGTCTCTCTGTCCTTGGACGTGTATTTGGACCAGGGCCGTCCTAATATATTCGGCGCCCGTGGGCTACTAAAAATAATGCATCCCCCTTCGTAAGAAAATACACGGGATGGCTAGCGGGAGCGGGGTGACTGGCAAAATTATACAAAAGTGTCAGTGAACTAGAAAAAGTCGATTTATTACCATTACGCTAAACAAAAACATAAAATTCATACAAATAAAAAAAGAACTATATGAACAAACACAAACTTTATAGTAATAGTAACAAAAAAATATAACACCAATAAAAATTGCCGACCCCAAAAAGCTTGCGCCCCGGGGCTATAGCTCATTTAGCCCTGTGGTTAGGGTTGCCCTGATTTGGACGTCTACTTCAAAGAAACAATATCGTGGAACATGATATTGATGACATACTGTGATAATTACATCAGACAAATTCTCCCTGGCAATACACCAGATGATAGTTGATGTCGTACATATAATGATAAATCATGTTAAAAATTAAAAATGAGTTAGAAGTTTTGTTCCTTTGTCAATTTGTTACAATATCGAATAATATTATCATAGTCATACAGTATCAAATAATATTACTATAATCATATTCATTATATTGTCAAATAATATTAAAAGTCCAAACTGAATTAGCTAGAAACTGAATTAGTTAGAAAAGTTTTTTTTGTCTACTTGTTACACAAAGTTACAATAGTTGCATTATTACTTGTTTACAATGGACAAATAATATTATAATATCATACTTATATAATATAATATTAATATAATATAATTAATATAATATATTATAATATAATATCATACTTATTATATAATATAATAATTATACAGTTAAATCATAGTTATTATCATAGTTATTATCAGAATCATACTATTAAATAATATTAAAAATTCAAATGTTTTTCTTTTGTCTGCTTATTATAGTATTTTTTTTTTCTGTTCTGCTTGATGAAATAGAAATTTGAAATATCTCTTTTGGAAGTACACCTTAATAATTTGCATTACGACAACGTTCGATCGTCATTTAAACACCACACGAACCGAT